AAATATATTGGGGCCGGGGAGATGGCTCAGTAGGATAAGCACTTGACTGGCAAACACAAGGATCAGAGTTCAATCCCCAGTTCCGCCAAAAAAAAAAAAAAGAAATATATTAAAGGAACTGGTTCGCACTCAATGATTGAAGCTGAAAATACACACACTCTTTATGATGTCACAGTATCATTCCTAGGTATAAACTCAATGGAAATGTATTACTAAATGTGTACAATATTACACTAACACCACCATCATCATTTTGTATACCCAAAATAGAAGTAGACTAATAGCCAATGACAGACAGGAATCATGGACTCATACAGAACAAATACATTACAGTTACAGGTAGCAACTTAACCATGTGAAAAGCATCAACAAGGCAAAGTAAAATACAGATGATTCCATTTATGTAAAGTTCAAAACCAGAAAAAACTATTGTGCTGTAAGAAGGTGAAACAGTATTTTCTTCTCAAAAAATGAGAAGCTGTAAGATCGGGATTAAAAAAATAAAAAGATGAGGAGCAAGCATGAAGAAACTTGTGCAACAGTGATAACATTTTATTTCTTGACCTAGAGGCTGGTTGCACCTAAAGGGTGATTGTATAAGCACAAGGCTGTGCGGCCCTCGTGAGTATTCATTATGCTGCATTTATATTTTGAGAACTCATCTGTATGCATGCAATACATCAATAAAGTCAACAATTAAATTTCCAAAAATGAATTGGGGAGAAAGTCTATGAAATCTAACTGGTCTAAACACTAAGAGAGGTTGTTGAAATAGAAATAATGGTTACAGACAGAATGAAGGCCAAGTATAACCAAAGCTTTCTTGGACATACAAACACTCATTTGGTCCCTCTAGTACTTCTAGAGGCTGGTTGTACCTAAAGGGTGGCTCAGTAGGATAAGCGCTTGACTGGCAAATGCAAGACAGTATATTTTGTTACTGTTTGTACCTAGATGTCCCCTGAAGCTTCACGTAGGCATAAGCAGGGCTTTTCAGAGGTGGCTGGATCTGGAGTATGTGATGCTGAGGTTAACGGTGTGATTACTAAATCAGTACACTGGTTTGGCATCGTTCTGGGTGGGTGTAGACGATGGGGGGGCCCTCCCTGGTGTGAGTGCTATCTGCCCAAATGATGTGTGGCCTGACAGGTTATCACTTGCTGCATCACTACTTTATTACTCTCTTGATGCCTTCTGCCTGCCATTAACTGTTTCTCCTCTGCCTTCGAAATCAGTTAACTATGAACTGAAGCATCTAAAAACTAAGCTATAATAAACCTCTCCTTTAACCCTGAGTGTTGGGTATTTTGTCTCAGCCATAAGAAAAGTAACCAGGCCCATCACTAACAGACACATCTTAAATCATCATCTATACTATATATATGCAAAAACCAAATACATAGGTCAACTTACCATGCTCTTTCAAGATATGACAATAAAATTCTCCAGGGTTATACATCACACAGACCACAACATCTACTGTTTGGTCGACAGCTAGTTCAACCCATGTCCATTCCAATGGATTTACTTTTTCATCTGTACCCAAAGAAACTGTGAAAATAAACACGTCTCACACACAAACAGACAAAGTATGGGGAGGCTTTGGCAGGGGATAGGCTGCTAATACATCTACTTTGGAAGACTTAAATTTCCCTTGACATTCTAGTGATAAAGGAAAGTTAACCTTAAGAACCAGTTTTAACCATTATTCATTTTTCCTGAGTTTCAAATTTGAATTTCTGATCAGTCTTTAATTGCCAGTGACTCATAAAACTTTTAACAAAAATTTCAGTTTTCAAACATACTCTTAAATAAAAGGCACTCAACATCAATTCTTTTGGAAGGCTTCAGAACTTGCACATTTACAGAGCCACCTGGACTCCAGCAGAAACATTATCTAGTAGATAATTTACTTACCACTGGGTTTCTCTGTCACTGTCTCCTTTTCATCTATAGCATAGCCAGCATCTATGAGAATTTTAGCAACACTGATAACAGGTGTCACAGATTTATCTGTAAGTTCCACCAGGGAACTGCTTTCCAGTTTGTCCACCACTTTCACTATGACCATTTTGTTCTGTGCAAATTTTTTCATAAGACAAATAGCCTCTGGTGTCCATATTCCTAATGTTGGCTTGACTCCTAACAAAGAATTTTTTTAAAAGAATGTTGAAATAATTCCTAAAGCAAGTATTCTGACATATAATTCCTGATTTCCATATACTCAAAATCTGTGACAAACACTAAAACCAGAAAGTCTCTCCCGGGAGAAAGGTTTTCTTAACATGAAAAAAAAAAAAAAATGAGTACAGAATTTAATAAAGAAAAACCCCAGGGCCAGGGAGATAGCTCAGTAGAATAAGTGCTTGCCTTGCAAGTGCAAGGGCCTGAGTTCAATCCCCAGTTCCACAAAAAACAACAACAACAAAAAACTATAGCTGGGGAGACAGCTTGGCTGCATAAGCATCTGTCTGGCAAGTGTGAGGTCCCAAGATCGATCTCTGGTACTGCATACAATGCCAGCCCCAGAACCCAGAGCACACTATGCCAGCCCAGGAACTGGGCATGGTGGCACATGCCTGTAATCCAGTGCAAGGGAGGCTGAGACAGGAAGATCACTATGAGTCGGAACTGCATAGCAAGACCCTGTATCCAAAAAATAAATTAAAAGAAAAAGTCTATGTTTTTACGTATCTGTGTAAAAAATCATAATTCTACTGATAGAAAGTAGTAAAGCAAATTTTTAGCATATTAGTTATTCCGGGGGGGGGGCAAGATTTCGCTATGAACTCGGCATGAGAGCTCTCATTAGGCTGAAGTGTTCCAAAACTGCCCTCATAATGATGGCGTACAACTCAGTGAATTTACTAAAAACCACTGACCTATATATCCACAAGAGCAACTTTCAAAGTGTATAAATTATACTTCAATAAAATCATTAAGAAAATAAAAAAGCATAAAACAAATGAGAAGAAATACTAGTCTCTTCAGTAACACAGGACACATTTGTGGCACAAATCAGCACTGAATGGGCACTTACAATACCTAAGCTATGGTTAAATCAGACCATTGAATGTATGATCCAAATAATATACAAAAAATATTCAGCCTTTAGTAATAAAGCAAACAAATGACTTAGGTTTGAGTTCATTGACACTAGCCAAGACAAATAAATCTCTCTCCGGTACATGAACGTATGGAAAGTTCGCTCCCTCATACTTCCCAGTGGACATACGAAGTAATTCAACTCTTCCCAGAGCATAGTGAAGGACGTATATCACATTTACAAAAAGCAGCGGATTCACTGACACCCAAGGATCTTGGATATGTAGCAAACCTAGTTAAAAGAACACTGCTGACAACAAAAACTTGGGAATATCTTTTTGATATTAGATAATAGACAAAGTGTGGTACATTCGAATAAAGACTGCTGAAGCCAATTTATTGACCTGGAAAGAAAGCTCTGATCCTGGTGGAACAAGTTACATGTTACATGTATGGTGATTTCTAAATACATGATCACATGTTATTGTTTTGTCAAGCAGACTTTCCCTCCTTGTGCATTTTTTCATAGTTCAATTTTCATTTTTAAGTTGTAACGTTTTTAATCATAGCATTTTAATCATAAAATCTTCATACCTGCCAGCATACACTTTAAAGCTTGCATTGGCAATTCCAACAACTTTGGAATTATGGGACAAAGTCTTGTCAAACTCAGGATCTCAAAGTTTCCATAATCGACATATCCAACCAATACAGACTCTTCAGAAGCATAGGCCAGAACAGAGGCACGGTACCACTGATCATCCTCTGAAACAAAGAAGATTCAACTTCAAATGATTTTTCATGACAATAAACATCAAATTAGATGGTCATATCTATATTTTACTTTTTAAAAATGTCAAGTTTTACTAAACATGCTTACTGAATACTACACATTTGCTACTTACTCAAAGCTTTCAATTCCTAAAATGTGATCTTTATTATTAGCTTCCTAATATGTCATATGCTGTCATTAATTTGGATGCCTGTCTCTCTAGTAGACAGCTCAGTAGGGCAGATAATATGTCCTGATGATGTGACTCTTGAAGGTCCTGATGAATACATGGATCCATTACATCAAGCAGGGCGCTTCAAGAACACCCGCAGTATGAGTCAACTGGACGACCAGCCAAGCAACTGACATACTGGGCACATTAGTTACTCATAAACCCTTCAGTACAGAGTCCCTGGCAGAACCTGGCAGTCACATGGGAGGGTTTGTGCAGCTACAAAAACTTTACTATTACAGTGCTAACCTTCCAGGCACTCCTGCTATTCCAAATAAAACTGGAGAAGATTGGAACCTAGATGTTCTTTATCTTGTGTTTATGTAAATAGAATGGTCTGTACCAATCTCTAAACACCAAGGGGCTGGAAAACATTTACGCCCTTTGCTCTCCCCACTCTATAGGTTCTCTACCCCTTCACATGTCACATATTCCTTTGACCCATTTTAACTGGATGCATTTAAGAAGATAAATATTGCACCTAAATATACAAGCTTCAAATGCAGCCACTCAGTGCTAAGGACTATGTCATTTTTACTCAGCTGTAAGTAGAACATTCAACAACACTGTCTTTACGTACCTGAGAATTGAGCACAACATATATCTCCAATGGATGGATAAAAGTTATACCTTGGACATGCTTGACTACAGTACTCACTAAGGGATGTCTGAAGTTCAGCAAGCTTATCTGTGGAGAAATATCATGTCTTAAAAGTTAGACATCCATACCTGATCTTTAGTTTCACATGCTGAGTCTGGGGGGCGCGTGGCTCAGCCTGCCCTGAGGGCGGGGCTGGTGCAGCATGTGGTGCCAGGGATCAAAACTATGCCTAAGCTGGCCTAAGCAGGCGCTTTAGACCATAGAGCTATCTTGCATGCCCCACATGCTGAGTCTTAAAGTATATCACTGTAATAAATCAAGAAAATTCACTTACGGCCACTTTGTAGTTGTTGGCAAAAAAAGTCGCCTGGTGTCTGAATGTGGGCAACCACACCACAAAACTCATCACCAACATTCAAAGTCAGCACTTTGGGGATTAGGTCACTTTTGTCTACACCAATTTTGTTTACAGGTACCATCATTCCAACTCCATCAGGGTCACCTTATCCGAAAACAGAAAAATAAGTTATTTTGATTTCATTACATTTTTAAAAATCAGGCAAACTGTGATCATTTTGAAAAACAGAATGTAAATATGAATGGGCAAAATTCTTGAAGATGCAGTCTGAGATAAAGTCAGTTTTCTGTCTCCCCAAATGCCAGACTACTCCTAAGAAAATCAATAGTACAAAAAAAATTCTGATTTAATAAAAAAGTTATATAATAGAATCTTTATAGTTTCTAAGTCAGCTCAAGAAAACATAACTTAGAATATATTACCTCAGATTATTCTGAAGTAAAAAACACATCAAGTAGCACCCATTTTACAGTGAAATGATAAATCTCATAAGAAAAAACATAGACCACGACACACACTCCCAAGTCTAACGAGTGAGAACTTCTGCCACATTCTGGGGGCCCCCAGATCCAGCCCTAGCCCAGGCTGGGGCTGTGGAGGGGGGGGGGAGATTTCCCTCTCACCTACTCCCCCTTGTCCCCTTCAGACTCAGTACAGGCCTGGCATACAGGCCTGGAGTTAACCTCTGCAGTTGTAGTCCCTGCAGAGAGAGTAGGGGATAGAACCACCCAGCTAGTCCAGGAGCAGAAAATCTTGCCAGAGGAGCACAACAGGTTCACCACCAAGGGCTGCAGTAGGAAGGAGCTGAGCACAGCAGCCAGACCCTAGTTAGGCACAACTGGATAAATTCAAACTTTGTAGATCTGCACCTAAATTTCAGTACGTGCTAAGGTTATAACTGCACCAAAGCTCTACAACAAAGGTCAGAAGACAGTGCTATGCAAAATGCAATCTCAGGGGCTGGAGAGATGGCTCAGTGATCTAAGGCACCTACTTAGAACAAGCTTAGCAAAAGCATCAGGGACCGCGGTTCAATCCCCCAGCACCACATGCCAGCCAGCCCTGCCCCCT